CTCGCGGGGCCTCTTATTTGCGACGATGATGCTGCCCCGCGGCGCACACAGTGATATTTATAACTTGCGTCGCGGTGCGAATCACTTGGACGAACATCGCTTAGACGAACGCGGGCGTTCCCTTCGTGACGTCGCGCGCGAGCTCGCGCATCGATCTTGCGGAGACGGAGGACGATGGCTGCGTCGGATACTCGAGCGCAAAAGTGACGTCGAGAAAAATTAGAGAGTTGCTCTCATAGACACAATATACCTAGACTGCGTGTTCGAGGAGGGGGGTATAGCTCACAGAGAGAAGGATGCGCTCTGTTTTTACTTGTCGTTCTCTCTCGCACACTCTCGAGGAAAGGGGAATAGGCAGTTGCTAACCTGTACGACAGTACAACCGCTGTTTTTTATCTGCTTCCGATGTAGCGATCAACTCAGATCACACCGTGCCTTCAGCTCACCCACGAGTAGGGATGCAACGATTTCTCAAAATATCGATAACGATATTATCGTCATTCGGAACCATCGACAACGGTAATATCGATAATTTTGAAAAATATCGATATTTATATAAAAAAATGTATACATACAGGGGTGTGCATATAAAGGGTATGCACGAAAAATTTGAAAAGATCTTTCCGAAATTTTTATCTTCATACAATTTATTGTCGTATTCTTATTAGAAAATATATAATGAACCGCAGTCATTTGCCGGAAATCACCACGTACATGGAGCGGGAGATCTACCACGGTTCAACGATTGAGGTGGAAATGATAAAAGTGAGCGAATTTACTAGACATCGAGCAATTACATAATATATATTCCAGTGAATTCACTCACTTTTGTCATTTTCATCTCGGTCGTAGAACCGTAATAGGCCCCCAGAGCTGTAACTGAAAAATACGAAAATCAGTAAAATTCATATCGATATGTCGACTTTATCGGACACAAAAAATGTCGATAAATATTGGATATTTGTCTCTCGATATGTCGATATTTCGATATTACCGATTTATCGTTGCATCCCCTACCCACGAGATATATACAGGTATAACCGCTGTACTGTCGTACAGATTAGCAACTACCTCCCCTATTCCTCTTGCACGCGACGACGCTTTCACTCGGAAGGAACTTTGGAACGCGCGCGCGAGATAAGGGAATTTTATTTCTCTCTCTCTCTCTCTCTCTCTCTCTCTCTCTCTCTCTCTCTCTCTCTCTCTCTCTTGAGAGTTCAAAGAAGAGGAAACGTAAATCCTCCTTTCAGAGAGTTCAGCTGCGTTGCGGGACTCATTGGGAAGAATGCAACTTTTCTGCCGTTGACTTGCGACAGATGTTTATGCGGAAAGTAGGTTATTATTAATAATAAGTGTTATTGTTATGCCAGTTGACTGAGAATCTTTTAAACGAGATAATGTGGTGAGAGGAGAGAGGCAAAGTGTTTCGTGAACGCACACACGCGCGCGCAAGGCGAAAATGTTCCCGTTTCGAGATCGACTTTTCTCTCTCTCTCTCTCTCTCTCTCTCTCTCTCTCTCTCTCTCTCTCTCTCTCTCTCTCTTTCTCTCTCTTCGTTAACTGCAGCTCGCGCAACAAGTTGCTCCTCCAGCGGACGAGATAATAATAAGTGCGCGTGTACGCGAAGTCAAAGATCGCGTCTCTCAACGTCGTTCTCGATGCGCGCGCGCGCGTAAGGTATGTTTGCGCGCACTGAGGATACGCAAACTCCCAAAGTTGAGGATTACGAAATACGAACGGACGCGAGATTTCTAACAAGCGTGCCTTTTCAAGCGAGCGCTCTAACACTCATTTGAATGATAAGTCGAAAGAAACGAGAGGATTAGAAGCGACGCTAAAACGCGCCGCGGGCTCTCATCCGATAATAGCGCGCGCATTTCACCACTCGAGTGGACGAATCCATCACGTGTATCGGTGGGATCGTCCATCGAGCGGCGTATTATTCTCCGGAATTGTCTTCGCCAGCGGCTCCCAGCTGGTCGTGAGATTTCGACTCTGGAAAAAAGAAAAAGAAAACGAGAACGATATAAAAAACGATCGAGTTCCCTCGATCGAATGCCCGAGTTTATACATGGAGATACTCGTCGGACGAGTAAAACCGACCTTCGTCGATCTCCCTCATATCTTTTACTGTCGACTGGGAGATCCCCTGGCGCTGTTTCGCGACGATATGAAAATTGCCGATAGAGAAATTTGCGCGACGAAAGAGAGACAGGCGCCGACAAATGCCGAAGGCCAAAGTTGTGATATGGAAACTCGGGGCAAGACTCTGAGCGAAAGTCAGACAGGTCACCCTAGATAAATCGATCGGAAGCGGATAATAAGGGGAGTATCCAGAGCGCAGACCTTACAAAGTCGAAGTTCGCACTCGGTGTTGCTTTTCAGCTTCCGCTCGGTATTCACATTCGAAGCTCATATTTAAGATTAAGATTTCGGGTCTTAAGGTTTATCTCTATACGGGTTATTTTTCTATTGCGGCTACGAGGATAAACTTCTTCGTCTTTTCGTCGCGGAGATAAGAATAGATGACGATATTGATAACAGTATTAATAATAGTAATTAATAATAAATAACAATTCCATCTTCTCTTATATTTTTAACAACTCAACGTTCTCTCTTAAGCGCAAGATCCGACTTCGGCGACCGTCGGCTTTGATTCTAGTTTCCAAAGTGTGCCGGCGACATTCACGCGACCACGTTCGAGTGCCCTCCCCCCCCCCGCTCCGGCGGGGGGTTTCGTTCGCTCGTTCGTTCGGCGGTAACGAGAGGATATCGAGCGTCGCGCCAGCGGACGACGAAGACAGGTAGGACGGCGCGAGAGCGAGACGCCGCCGCCGCTTCCGCGTTTCTCCCGAGGCACGTAAATCTCGTGGCGACCCGCGAGACCCGCTCGTCCGGAGGAATTCGCCGGGGAACCAAGCGCGACGTCTCTCACACGTTCAACGCTGCCGCAAAGGGCGCGATTGCTTACAAGTGCGGCAAAGGCGCGCGTAATTCCTCCAGCGAGGCGAGTAGTAGGCCGCTGCTCTTTCCGACTTCTCTACGGAGTCCCCCTCGGGAGTTTAGTCTCGGGGAGAATAAACTACCGTCGTCGTCGTTGTTGGGGGAAGGCAGCGGAGGGGGAGGGCGGGAGGAGGGAGAGGGGTGAACGTTTGAACCCCCCCCGCCCATGCGTGTGTGCACGTTCGCGGCAAGTGGGAAAGCGGTTTACAGAAGTCGCGCACCGTCGATATTTCTCACCTCCGGCTTTCTTCCCTTCGTGCAACGGTAGCTCGTGAACCTCCGCCAGCACCTGCGCGCGATGTCCGGGAGAGTTCCTTTGAGACGATCGAATCCTCCGTTGCATTGTGTTCCGCGAGAAGATGTTTGCTGATTTCGCGTCGGAGAGAAGGGAAGCTTACGGTCGCCTTCCCTTCTCGCTTCGCCCTTCGTGCCTCGCTATTTCTTCCCTCCATCCGCGAAGAGCCGTCTTCGAGGGACGCGGGAACGGTCACATTATCGCGAGAATTAGCGAGGACGAGACGCGAGCGCGCGAGAGAGAGAGAGAGAGAGAGAGAGAGTGTGTAGGAGGACGCGTGGAACTAATGCGCGCGACTCGCGGCATGTGTAACATCGGCGTTTCGTCAGCGTCAAGTGTCGCGACGGATATACCAGCGCTGTTTGCTGTGCCAATCGACGCGTCGAATTACTTTCACCGACTTCGGCCGAATCGTACGTGCGTGGCCGCGGCCGCGCAAAAATCTCGGCGAGGAGGAAAAAAGCGAGCGCGAACGACTGTCACAGACCGCCGCGCCGCGGCAAAAGTGCGCTCCTAACGAGCCGCTGCTGCCGCGGTCCTCCTTGCATCGTCGCGTCTCTGCGACGGGGAGTCGTTCGTTTTTGTGCCGAGGAAACTAATGCAATTACGCAGGAAAATTCACCGCGCGGAAAAACGGCGGTCGTCGTCTCGGGGCGGAACGATATCTTCGAGATAGTTCGCGCGCTCGTTCTCGCGATTTCGACTTGCCGCGGGTAGTCTCTCTCGCCGATAATATCCCCCCCCCCCCGATTTGGGAAAATCGAGCGGTTCGGGAAACGAGCGGCGGGATTAATCGATGAAAGTGCAAATTCATGTGCGGTAACACGCACGCGGCGCGACTTGCCGCGCCATTAATTCGCGTGGAAAGTGTCAAGACTTACAAAATCACTTTCAATTCCTTTCCCGCGTAACGCAACGGCAGGTGCCGGACTTTACGCGCGGCTCTCGCAGCTCTCGATCTCGAACGAATCTCACGGCGATATCGAGCAGCTTGATCTCTCCGCCGCGAATATTATCCCGATCACCGCGCGAATATCTCGTCTCGTTTCCCACAGACGCTCGCGATTCAACGAGAGAAATATGCACGCTGAAGAAAAAAAACGGAGGGAAAGAACCGACCGGGGGTTTCAGGGTTGCGCAATTTTTCTCGCACAAACTACAGCCGCGGGTCGAACGGAATCGTCAATCTGCCGCAGGAATTTGCGTCGCAAAACTTGGTCGAGCGTGACAATTCAACGCAAAATTCTTTCCCTTTACACAAACGAGAGGTCGAGGGAAACACACGAAAAAATCTCGCAGTTGAGACCTTAAGATTAAGCGCGTTTCACTCGACTCGAGTAGTCACCCAGCAGGTCCCCCCCCCCCACCGCGAAAATCAACGCGCGACAAGCGCAAAGGTACCAATTAACATTCCCCAAGCGGCATTCGTCGGAAGCGCAAAGTGCGTTCGCGCTTCCACGACGGGAAACGGAAGCGGAAGAACAGAAACGTCGAGCGAACCCCGACATTCCGTCTCTGTCGGAGCCCAACCGCCCTTACTCGTCCGGCTAAAACGGGGCCCGCCTTCCTTTCACCTATCGTTTGCGCAGAAGAAGAAACCAAGCGGAGTTCACTCGAACGATTTCTCCGGGAATACCGCTCGGGGATGCAACCCCGAAATAATCGAGTTCTCTCGGCAGTCAAGAACTGAAAAGAGACTCACCCTTATGCCTGCGCCACTGCCTGTAGAGAAGCGTCGCGACCGCGAGCAGAACGAGCGTCGTCAGAAAGGTCCCGATCACGGCTCCAGCCACGCTGCCTGCTCCGAAGCAGGCATCCTGCGCTGCTGCTGTTGCTGCTGCGTCCTCCATGATTCGCGTTTAGGCTCGCCTCTCGCGCATATTCTCGCGCTGCTTCGACCGGTCGTCGGCGTTCTTGCCGCGCGACTTGCCTCTCTGCGACTCGCTTTCGCTCTACCTCTCTCTACCTTCCTCTCTCTCTCTCTCTCTCTCTCTCTCTCTCTCTCTCTCTCTCTCTCTTTCATATACGTGCAAACGCGCGCATACACGATCTCCTTCTTTCCTCCCCGCTCTCTTTCTCTCTCTCTCTCTCTGTCGCTCTTGCCTTCGCTCTCTCTCTCTCTCTCTCTCTCTCTCCCTCTCTCTCTCTTTCTCTCCTCTTTGCCGTGTCGTCAATTCAGCCGCATAGTTTCGCGCGTGAACAAAACTTGGGCCGGATTAGACACGCGACACGCAGGCACGCTCGCCGACATGCCGTGTATTTCGCAGCGTACGTCTCCTTCTCGCGCGCGCGCGTCCTTCTTCACGCCTCGTCCGCGTTTTCCTCGTCTCGGTATCCAGCGGTCGTTCGCGTCGCGCCCAATGAACGCGGGTTCAGCTGCGCGTCGTCGGAGCAGCGAAAAACGAGGAGCACGAGACTCGGCCTGTCGTGGTTGTTTTTACCGCGAAATCACGTCGGCTTCAAACGGGCAGCAGGTAGCCGCGCGCACGCGCGCGTAAAATGCGTCGCGGATAGCAAAAATCCGATCGGTTTCTCACGTTACCTCTCTCGGTCACGGGGAACGGAATGGTGTATGTACGCGACGACGACGACAATGGTAACGACAGCGAGGATAAGGACGACGGCGTCTCGAGCCGCGACGGCCAGCAGCTCGCCCGACTGAGATTCTTTCGCACTCTGAAGAGTGCTCCAGCGAACTCGCTCGGAATGCGAACGGAGATCACGTACGAGATGCGTACACGCACGCGTGTTCGCGACCACTCGGAAAATAACCTGCTGCTGCTGCTGCTGCTGCTGCCGCACGCTCTCTCGCCGCAGTGACACCACCCGCGCGACGTCCTGACTGTTACTGACGAGCAGAGCCGCCGCGCGAGTAAAACAGGTAGGCGAGCAACAGGTGCTTCTGGCTCCGCTAGGGGGTGGCAGGGTCGGGGGAGGGGAGAGATTGTTGATGTTCCAGGAGTCAGGATCGGGTCTATGCGGGTGGCCGGATGGAGTTCACTGGGGGGACCCGGTGAAAAGTGGGTGTTTCCCGTGAGAATCTGTGGCTTTCGCGATATTTTCATTTGTGATTCTCGACTTGTTGCCAGTCGGTGTGCGCGAACACGTCGTCTTCAAGCGTTACTTTTAGTAAATGTCGGTTGGAACGATTGATTGTTGGCGGATTTGCTACTTCTAGCTACGTAAGTTGACGACTAACAGCAAATGAAAAGCAATAATTTTATGTGTATTGATGAAACAAAGCGAGCAACATTGGGACTGAGAAAGAGAGCAATTTTTTACATTTGATTGATTGATGAAGAAAAAAAGTTTGTTTGTATCTAATGGCAAATTTTGGCAATATGGTCATATTGACAACTCTGTTATCTGAATTAGTCGTTTATTTAGTGAAAGTTTCCGGAATATCTACAGTTTCCTCGCAGAACATTGCAGATATCACTGGATAATTTGCAAATGTAAAATATTTAGTATGATGAAGTATATCGAAAAGATGTATTTTGTGTGTGAAAACGAATCTTTTCATGATGTATAAGAAGACGTAGAAAAACATGCGAGAATATGATGAGTGCGCCATCTCTAGACGAACGGTGCTTCTATTCCTTCAGGGTCAGTGTTCAAAGATTGAGCGAGTTTTCAACAATCGATACCACGCGCAATGACATAAGTAGCATCGATCATAGATCGGTAACAGCACGTAACAAACAAAAAAAGAAGTGAAATTCGAATGATTAACAAATTGACCAATCACATTCGATAGTGATTAAAAATATCAGACTTGATACGAGAAATTAAGAACGTGAGATGATATATTGAGATCCTCCATTATGATTAGCCAATTCTTTTAATGTTAAAATCTTCTTGTTTGTTTTCTATGCACTGTTCTAATAATAAAAAATATCTAATCGCTCGTGTATTGTTTATGCGTGAAACGTCCAAGAAAAATGACTTAGAATCAAACAAAATTTTAAAATAAAATAAATGTGATGTATTATAAAAAAAAAGTTTTTGAAACTTCTTAAAAAGATTTTATATACTGTTTTATATACTATTCACTTAATCTTCTATATTTGTGAACTTTGAAAGAATATATCTGGCTTGGGCGTTCGAGTGGGGAAAGGAAAGAACTGATTCTATTAGTAATTCTAAATTTGGAAATTTTTTCTCCCCAATGACGGATATAGATTTTAATATTTCTGTCCACATTACATCTATTTCTAAAAGAGCTAATTTTTCTTTTTCTGTATCATTATATACTAGTGGTAGCATTCTCCATTCATAAGCTAAACTTGTAATATCAAGATGTTTTATACATTTTGCAATAACAGTTAAATCTCTAAACTTTTCTCTACCGCTATAATAAAGCGATATTTTAGGTTGTAGAAATGTTAATTGTTCAAAGATTGTATCTTTGTATGGCAGATATTTCAACATTTCGGTAACTGCACTTGCATAAAAATTAAAACAATTTAACTTAATTTCTTTGGCACTCGTTGCAGATAATAATTTTAAACATTCTTCACATTCTGGTCCCACATATATGTCATCAATATTTAGTATATTGTCCTGGTTACTTAAATTTATATTAACAATATCTTCTAAAGCATTTGCAGTCATAAAATTTTGAGCAACTTTACGAATTAATTGTTGACTGTTATCTAAAAAAGTATGACTCAAAAATTTATGAGATTGATATAACATGTTTAAGTCATTAAAAAAATATAATGAATAATTTAAAAATAACAAATATGCTTTTATTAAATCATTATTGAACTGTTTTGAAAGAGTTTTTATAGATTTTGATGTATCATCTGTTGCATTATTTTCTGTAGAAATAAAATTCTGCAGAAATAAATCTTTTAAAATAACCCAATTTCCAGTTATTTTGACGATACATTTATGTAAAACTAACCATTTCTTAGGTGATCTTAAGATTTTATTTGTCTCTGCATTGAAAGTATCTTTAAATTCATTTAAATGCATAAATTCTTCTACGTTATCTGAAATATAAGAAGCTACTATTTGAATGAAATCCTTACATGATTCTGGTATGTGTGCATACGCAGTATCAACTACAATTGCGACTGAATGGTCAATACAATTTAGCTTGATAATATCTGGCATTTTTGACTGCAAATGTTTTATTACAGAATTGCATCCATCCATCATAGATGAATTATTGCCTGCTACTGCAACTATATTCTGTAAAGGAATTCTTTTCTTTTTGAGAAGATTTTTAAACTCTTCAAAAAATTTATCCACAGGATCTGTTTGATCTATACATATTAATGTTAATAATTGTGTCGTAACTGTTTTATCCTGTGGCGAAACGTATCGCACAAGAATGCACAGTATTCTTTTCGAATCATTGGTATTCTCGTCCATTAAAAGGGAAAATTTGCAGGTTTGTAAATTTCTGGTCATCTCGTCAATTTCATCAACTTCGCATTTGTCAGTTACTTGCATATTACTTGTACCTGTACCAGTGTAATCCAGATTAAGCGAAAGAGATGAAATAACTGTCGGATCTTTGCAGATTTCTTTTATTAATGGTATTAAACGATCCACGGCGTGAAACGGTATATTATGTTCGACGATAAAAGCTGTCAGTTTGATCTCTGCTCGTTTAACTTTATTCTCATATGTAAGGGTGGCTGATTCAGTAATTGTTTTACTTTCATTTTGTGCATTTTTAACATGTGTGTTTTCGATATGTGTATCCGTCTGTGAATGTTCAATTAACTTTGTTTTGTAACATTGAATAGTCACATCACACGTAGTACAAATGGCTCTATTTTCTGTGGAATGAGGAATTAACCACCCTTTAAAAATATCCTCCTCTAACCACGATGCTTGAAATTGCTCAACTCTCTGTTGGCTAAAATCTCCACCGTATTCAATGTCCATGATTCTTAAATGTTAATTTTTACTTACCACCGAACTTAACCTCATTTCGTTGTTTTCCGGACCTGTTACAAAACGCGTCTTTTATCGCGCATATAGAGGGAGAATAAAAGGGGTGTTGAACTTATTTTGAGCGGTATGTATAGGCTGTGTTCCAAAATCCACTGCCAGTACTGAAAATACATAGACTGCGTTCCGATATTCACTGCCAGTACCGCAAACATATAATTTGTGTCACATATACTATAGATTTTCAGCACTGGCAGTGAATATCGGAACGCAGCCATAGTTTGTGTCACGTATATTATAAATTTTCAGTGTTGGCAGTGAATATTGGAACGCAGCCGTAGTCGCACTTTTTACATTTAACGCACTTTTTATCTTTAGATGTTTTGCAACCAATGAAACAATCCATGCAACATCTGAAGATGAAAGGCAAGTGATCTTAAACGCAAGATCCGACAATCCTTGTCTATGAAATGGGAATATAACTACGAAGCCGATATTCACAGTCCGACATTAATCATTTGCTAGATTTATGCTTGCTTCTAGCAGCCTTAATTTAATCGCCTGGTTATTCCAAAGGAATCGACCAATCGCATTTGTCGCTAATTAGAATCGACAAACGCGATTGATCACTTCCAATGGAGAAACCAGCCAGTTGGGTTAACCACAGTTGGTAGAAACGCGCATTAAGGCATTAAAAATGTTTAATCACACGCATGGACACGCATCTAGATATCCGTGCATCATGACTGCTGACTATTCGCGCAAACAGCAACGATATCTTTGATAACGCTT